TCGATCATGTTGTAATGTGGCCACCAGTCTAGGTGACTCGACACTGCGGGCACTATATGTTGAGATCAGATGGTGTTTGGAGGTAGTCGACAGGAAACCCTGAACCCGGGTTTCATGCTACTTGGCACTCGTCAGCAAGGTGTACCTGTAATCTTGAGGGGACTGGTGCTGACGAGAGCCAAGTAGCACGAAACCCCGATTCAGGATTTCCTGTCGACTACCTCCAACCACCATCTAATCTCAAGAAGTATATTTGTTCATCATCAAAATTCAGTTTGAAACTCATTAGTTTCATGTATATAATTGTCTCCTAGAGAAGTGTATAAGGGATATAACTTCAGTGACTTATATATATTATTTGACACTTAGAATAATTTGAAAAATATTGATGTTCTCTTAGTTGTTTCGAACAAAGTACTTCAAGTACCAATCATCTGAATGACAAATCTTTTAAATCATTTCAAAAGCAGAGTATTTGATTATTAAAAAAATGTATATTGCAGGATAGGTATGCAAGGAAATCAATTCACAAGATGGACGTGACATGGTAAATGACAATATGAGAAGACTAGTCAACTTCTTCAGAATACATAGCAATCATGCTTGGAATTAATTCTTCGGGACCAGAGTTTAGTGGTGGATAATTAGAAGTTGAAGCATTGCTTATGTATTTTGGGACTACGGTTTAAGTAATGTCTGGGGTAGTAACAGAGTACTAGGGAAAGATGGCAAATCAATTGATGAGGCAGTAAATCTTCATCTACTGAAGTGGTTAGGACATGTGTAATGAATGTCCATCCACCGCCTACCTCAACGGGCGATGTTTTCTGATACAGGATTAGGCTGGAAGGGGTGGCCAAATCAAAATATAGCATCAGTTCATGAAGACTGACAATTGGAATAGACCATGTTGATAGATGTAGACTACCTTGGTTAGGGTCCGCGTGATCATCGTAACCAATGGTTAGAGATATGGCTCAAAACAGTTTGCGATGGAGCAGGTGCATCCGTTTTTTGTTTTCCATCAAATCCTGAGATTCTAAATTACATTACATTTTCGCCAATTCATATCTTTGGTGCCTAATCTTTTCTATCACCACAGATGCTGAGGTAAAAGATTTATCATCATTAGCTACAAATTTACTCACTAGTGATGGTCAGTTCTGTTTATACTGAGAGAATAATATTCACTGAACATAGGATATCACTTATGCCACATGCATAATTTCATCTTCGTGTTTGTTAACAACGAATGTGATATCAGTCTCTTGAACTAATGATCCTACATAACATTTACTTCATTTAGATTGTAGAATAATTTATTGTCTTACATTATATTTCAACGTGGTTATTCACCTTCATTCAATTGCTATTTACATCATTTTATCACAACTGTTTAGAATTAGTTAATCCGATGAACTCAATCAATTTCTGTGCCGATAGATACATATAATGAACCAGCTACCTTTAGTTAAAGAGTAATTATAACATTCAACACATACACACATATGTACCGCAGTTATATGAGTTTGACCTTGACAGTGGATTCATTAAATGAGCAAAGAATCAAATAAAATTCATGAAAAAGGTACATGCTAAGTGAACTGATTATTTATCATTTTCTTCAAGGTCAATCGTTGTAAACAAGAAGTTATGCAATAAACAATTACATTGTGTTTACGTCTTGTCTAAATGACAACTAATTATGCATATATATATATATATATATATATATATATATATATGTATATATATATATATATATATATATATATATATATATATATATATATACATAATAGATAATAACGTAAATGAAATTTCAGACTTTGTAAACAGATACTTATTTATGTTGCAAATATTTTTCAGACAACTTAAAGAATGTTAGACCACCATTGAAAACCTGGAAGCATTAGATGACCGTTCGGTGGTACACATACATTCACGATCCCATATGTGGAGCTCAAGATATTCGGTCTCGTGTGCGAAAGATTAACCTTTAGACCATTGAGCCGGTATCCAACGATCTAGCTTTAACCAATCCACAATATGCGCGACAGTCCACCATTGTCTTCAGTGAGTAACTGTCTTACACCAGATCGAAAGTCCTGGGTTCGTTTCCCGAGTACGGGATAGTGAATGCGTACTCCTGAGGAGTCTCATACTAGGATGAATCGGCCGTCCAGTGCTTCCAGGTTCTCCATGTTGTTTTAACATTGATCCATTCATGATCTCCATAACCTTATATTGATAATTTAAGAAATGTTCCTACTTAATGCAACCGGTTCCTCAAATAGAATCAAATATGAAACGGATGAATAATAATTGGAAAGAGCTGGAGAGGATTGCCCAAAACAGGGTTGGATGGAGAGTGCTGATGGGCGGCCTATGCTCCTCCACGAGGAGTAATAGGCGTAAGTAAGTATTTCACAAGTTATTCAGTTTGAATTAGTTAGAAAACTATAAATAGACAATTGACGAGCTTTTAACTTTACTACATACACATGATATAATAAACAATTCCCTAAATAGGTTCAAGGTAAACACATGTTTATATGCCAATATCGGAGCTACTCAAATATGTATTATTATTAATGATATGGGACAATACTAAGTTATTGATCTTTATTTATTAACTCATTTACTAAGTACAGATTTATGTACTTGGTTTTCAGCTATACTAAGTGTGAGGGATAAAATTACTGCCCGGTTACCGAAAAAGAAAGTAGGAAGAGCACAGTACAAACCTAAGACTTAATAATCAAAAGTTGAATGTTCTGACTACTGTGTAACCTCTATACATTAAATTGTTGGAGTGAAATACATTTTGTAGCTCAAGTCAAAAAATACAAAAAAGATAATCTGAAAAGACCGGTTAGTTTAAATGCTAACATATCTCAGAGCTTTTCCTTACAAAATGGTGATTTCTACTAACCAAAGTAACTAACGCAACACATACAAATACTACGTCAATGTATTAAGAATTAGACAATCAGTCATTTTTTATGCACTAAAAGGTAATCTCGAAATTATGCCACTCATATTGAAGTCCTTAATCTTACATCGTGCCCAGTATATACCACAAGAATTTACTTTTATTTATCTATTTGATAATTATAAGTACATTTGGAGGGCGGGGAAACAAATTTATCAAGGAAATATTTCCTTTTGAACAACTTTTCATAGTGGCATTAAATCAATAGGTTTGACTGATATTGGATAATAGAAGTGTGTTACTTTTATAGGTTACATCATAGACTGAAAACTAAGAAGTACTGGTGTTCCAGTAAGAAGCCGTGATCAGTCTAACCGAGTGGGATGTGAGACAGTTACACATTAAGGGCATTGAGAGGTTGTTGCACAGTATGGAGAATCGATTGAAGTTACAACTGCAAACCACTGAAAAGCAAATTAGCAACTGAAAGGTTAATGGTTCGTTGTGAGACCTGAAGGAGCTGGATGTGATTCCTAGATGGAAAGTCGTGGACGTGTACTCCCAAGGAGTTGCATACTAGGACGAAACAGCTGTCCGGCCGTGTCTGGTTTTTAGTGATTGACTAACTAAAATCCATGGTCTAAACTAAACTAAACAAGACCCTAATAATAATAAATTACCACGTAAAGGTGTATGGGTTCGGGTTTATATCACGAAATTCGAGTGAGAGTAAATAAGCTTTATCTAACCATTTAAAACGAAGTAAGCACAGTGTGCCGTCCGTACCCTCAGCCTATTAGGCTGAGTAAAGCGGTTTATTTAAACATAAAGCTACTGAACCAATTTCAAATGATAACAACACTGAAACCAAACAAATAGTGATGACTTATCCAATAACATTTGCAATTTACATTATCTATGAGTCAACATGGAAGTAATTCAAGGACAATAAGAAACTGGGGTTGAATTGTACTTGGATATCTACGAGTTGCTTGTTTGAAAACATTAATACTGGTACAAGGAGGCATCAAATGTAAGTGCACCACACATGAGCTTATGAAGAGATAAAAGATGGAATGACTCTCGAAATCAATATTTATTGGGCTCTACCAATAAATCTTCCTTGAAAGACCTGTTTTTTAAAGCAGTCAGGAATAGAACAAAAGAATCTGTAGTATTCAGGCATCGAAGCGGAACTAGGGAGTTATTACTGTTAATTTACGGCGAATTAATGATTAACATGTATTCTTACATTCACAAGCATTCTACTGGTAATACCAAGATGAGATGAAACTTACGTTTTGAACTGTACTAAAGTACGAATAGTGGAGAATACTTGTATAGTGCGTTGACCAAAACCATGGTCTTAAATTTCAAGTAGCTGTCGGTTGTTACAACATAAATAGATAGAAGGATATTTCAACCAATCAGTTAACAGAAACGTAGAACCTGGTTGATTTGTGCACCGGTTGAAGTTGCTATACTACTACATCAGCACAAAAAGACGAAATTATTAAACTAAATCCCAGAGTGGTCGTATGCAAAACTAACCATAGACTAGATGACTCGAGAAGATAGTGAATTTACGGGACAAAAAGATAAGGTAGTTTGAAAACTCAAGAGCTAGCAAAAGGTAAATAGGAAATGAATTTTCGCCGTTGTGCAAGCCATGTCACTCAACAACTCCAACAAATGGGTAAGGTAATCGTACGGAATCCAACGAAGTTGATGACTTCACGAGCCAGTAAATAACTACAAGTTTTGTCAAAACGAAAGTATTTGAGCTGGGATTTGATCTGCACTTTAGTAATTGAGAATTAGGCATAGTTTTTACAGCCCTTAATCATCGAAGGAATTTATACTTAATCATTGGGATGATTGTGTCAACAGATTTAATTGAAAATGTTTACAATGAAACCAGGAGGAATCTAACATTTTAATGGAATAGACAGATGAACCTCAACACCAATTTCATTCGATCTTCAGTATATGGATTAACGAACAACACTAAACTTGCTGTATAGTGTAAAGTGAGAAGAAGAATGAAATTTAATGCTTTACTTACCTTTCTAATACATTTAGTAAATTTTCAGCTGCTTTATACGTTTCTTCATCTTTATCAAATAAACTGGAATATGGACTATTTAACGGTGATCCGAATATACTACTACCGCTAATATTATTAGTAGTGGTGGTTGCAGTTGTCATTGAATTCACTAACATATCACTATTATCTAAATTGGAGGATTATTCACTAAATAATTGCGTAGAACAGTGATGAGTTCGATTAGACAATGAGCTGCCGATTCATGTGCCTAATTATTAAAAATGATAATATAGAGTAGTGAGAATAAATAACTGAATGAACTAGTAAGAAAAATGGAACCTACGTTCTTATTTATTGATTAAATGATCGTTTTGTCTAAACAGAAAGAAACCTAATAGGAGTCATCATAAAATCAATGTTCAAAAATGTTTAAGATTCCAATGAGTATTAATACGAGTCAACTACTTGAACCAGTCAACCAGTGATTTGCGAAGAAGATATAGAGTATAAAACAGCTGTTTTATTCTAACTCGACACATATCAGTGGTGTTCAGCCAAGAGTTTATATGGCATCTAGTCCAATCTAGGCCAATGAGATCTCATAATAAACACAACAAAATCAGATTATTAAACTGTTGGTTATTGTTCAAATGCCTCCAAATGCCCTGGTACGGTCGAGAGTGAGGAGAGTAAGCTATCCCTCTGGAAATGCTCTCACATGGTCACGCTCTCACAGCCACTGTCAAGGAAGTCCTACTCAATGCCTTCTCGCGGCAGAGGTGTGGTTTACGAAAAGCCAATGTCCAGCGCTTTAACCGGGTTGGTGGATATGGAAGATCCACGTAGGGGGGGGGGGTTGGAAAACCCTGATTACAATCCAATGGTGTACATCGGCTCCAGTATCCTGAGGGGACAAATGGCGTCCAAACTAATTGTTGGTCACCAGCTACCTTGTGGATTAGATCTTTAGGTCAAAGGTTCAGGGAATGGCCCCCAAGGAAAACCACCTGCTTCTGTTTGGGCTCCGGGTAGTATCACAGTCCTCACGCAAATAAATGATAACTACTACTGACTTCATTGTTATTATATGGTGCATATGTATTTGGTGCCACCTTGTACCAATGTTTAGGTCTTCAAATAAATAAATAAATAAACCTACACCCAGTTCTGTATCTAGTGAGTTCTCACTTCCTGAACTAATACACAAAGTATGGCGACATTCGATCAGGTTCTAAGTTGTTTCAGCTTCTATATCTATTTATACCTTACCTAGATAATTCTATAGTAATATTAAATGTAATCAAAAGATTCATAAATGAACAAAAATAAAAAATTAAAACAACTTAATGCAGATGAGGAAGTGATAGAAGTCAATACTTAGTTTACGTTAATAATTAACCAAGCTACATTTTAGTCAGTCAGCTAAAAAGTAGAACCAGGCACACATATGTATCGGTTCAAGTTGCCATAGCTCATTAGCACAACAAGATGAACGTTACATAGGCATTGTTCTACTGATACACAATAAACAAATGTATTAAAGTCATAAATTCAACTGTTTATGTAATATGTACATGTGTATATTTAAATGAAGTGTCACAAAATGAGTTGAATATGATCGACAAATGGATGATTTACATTATGATGTTATATTAAATTAGCAAAATTTAACATTAGTGGTAGCCATTCTTCTTTATAGGCATCGTTAGACCTCTTATATACAAGTATCTGTTCAGATTGTCAGACTTCCTAATCAATGCAATGAGAACAGACCAAATCATTGAATTTAGATCGATAACCACGATCAATAGTTAAAGATATTGGATGATATGGCTAAGGATCAGTAGAAATAATGAATATCCAATCACTCTTTGTCTGACTTTAGGTCTTGAGTCCCAGTATTCCTTTGTGTATGCCTTTTTCTTGAATCATATTATCAATGTTTAGTTTTTGTCATTATTATTTCTAATACATTATTCACACTACTTTATTATTCATCACATTAATCTTCTGGTGCTTAATTTAGTATAGGATACTAAGACAAAGCATATTTTTGCCAGGTTCTACGTTGATTGCAACTAGTTAAACTTAGTCAGAAGTACTGAAAATTTGTTATTTCGATTCATCTACTTTGAATCGTTTAAAGTGTAAAAGTATGTAAATTAGGATGCCCAATGTCAAATTGAAACTTGTACAACATCAACATTACTCTTTTGACAAAAATCAAACTAGATACAACATGAAATAATCATAATAATAATCACACTTATTACTATAGAAAACCACTAGTAATGCAACAATTATTGATGAAAAAAGACTTACGTCAGACGAATAGATTGGATCAAATTTCTCAATAAGACGTTCAACAAGTCGATCTGTTTTAAACCACTGAGAAGACATGGAAAGTAAAGTAGTTAACAATAAAAAATATCAGAAGGGGTTCTGTGGATATTATAGAAATTTTAATAGTTGAGATCATGACTCAATTGAAGCTAGACTACTATGGAAAACCTGGTAGCACTGGACGGCCGTTCCGTCCTATTGTGGGACTCCTCAGCAGTGCGCACCCACGATCCCACCTCGTATGACCTGAACCCAGGACCAATCAGTCTCGCGCGCCAGTGCTTAACCACTAGACTACTGAGCTGGCATCCAATAGTGTCAATGTCTAACTTCAACTAATCCACGAAATTGAGCGACACATCCACCATTATCTTCTTTAGTGAGTTACTATCTCACAACACACCCGGTTGAATCCCACTGGAGATAAAACAAATATGTAAATTGTATCCCAATATATTCAACATATATACTGAAGGATATTACATTAATCAATTAATTTGATTGACATATTCTATTTAGCTACCATTATGATGTGTGCTACTGATATCGACATGTATAAGTAGTATGTATCATCAATCAGAAGTGAAATGCTCGGAGGCAGAAGGTTAAGAAGATAGAAGAGAAGAGGACGAGAAAAGAGAATGTTTGGTGTGGAAACGAAGGAACAATCAAGTCTGAAACAATTGATTGACATTTTACAAATGAAGTATTTACTGTATGGTTTTTAGATTTTACTAAGAGATTCTGGAATTTTGTGTTCAAATACATTTGATTTTCCCGCCTGTGTTCTCGTCCACTACATTATGAGAGAAGTAGAGCAAGATTAGTTAAAGAAGCGGTGGATTATTTTTCCCAGATTCAAGTCATTTAACGTTTATTTTATTTTGGGTAGCCATGTTGTAATACTAGTCCACACATGAGTAATATGACTTGAAGCTAAGTACGTAAACCTGAAACATTGTAGACAAGTCATAGCAAACATTATTGAACTAAGAAAAGATTTAAGTTGATGCGCTTCACATGACAGGAATTCCCACTATGACGGGTACTACATTACCATAATAACTAAGTACCTGATGATATGCAATGTAGCAACAGTACAAGCATTCACAAAAACAATGCACGTGACAAAAAACGGAGGCTGGTCTTGAGTTCAACAAAAAACTTTAAAACTAGAAAGCATGATTTTCACACATCAACAACGTACATATACTCCATCCCATAACACTACATTATAAAAGGTAGTGAGTTTCAGTCCCACTATGGATATCAACAATGGGACTTAGGTACATCCAGCTGACGAGTTCCAAATACAAAGAAACAGGTATCCTAGATCTTGTTACTAGCTACAATCTATCCATTCTAAATAACAGGTAAGGTGTAATTGATGATACGATTGAGATAAATATATTTTAGTTGAAACGATTCATTCTACTTTTACAAAGAATGTAACAGAAAATTACAGGAGACTTACTACTGCCTTATTGTACATGCAATATCTGATAGTCTTAGGATAAAATCACTTCACTAACAAGTGAAAACTAGCATGAAACCCAGATCTAAGGTTTTCTACTGACTTCTCCCAGCTACCTAACACCAAAATACAGTACACATACACATATAATATCGAATTAGACTACTGACAAAATTGCCAATTGACAGAGAGAATCTGATCAACACTTATCAACAGAAAAATCTGATATTGGTTACTACTCAGTGATCAATCAATGGAAGAGATTATTACTTCTTATGAAATGTTGACTATACACAATAAATAAGTTTTTGTAAAAGATATTTGAATGATTATTGTATTATTTGTTTACATAATTAGTACAATTTCAACAAAATAGTAAGATTTAAATGCTTACTTCAAAAATCATATGTTGTTGTTTTGTTTCTTGTTGAGATAATTGTATAATTAAATCGGCCACAGAGGAAGAATCCAACGATAAGAATAACTGATCAAGAAATTCCTTTGATGATCGTAAATAAGGTATAATCTGTAACAGAAACATAGTTATTCCGGTTGAAAGATAAAAATATTTATGACAGTTTAACTTAAGCGCTACACATTTAGACACTTTAGTTGATGAAGATATTTATTTATTTAAACACATAAACATTGGTACAAGGAGACACCAAATAGATAGGCTCCACATTAATTATTCGATTCGTGTGACGGCTAAGATACTGTCCGGGTGCCTAGACCGAATTGGGTGGTTTTCTTAGGGGGCCACTTCCGGAACCTTCGACCTAAAGGCCGTCAGAGCAACGTCAGGAGATGCAGTCCCACGGTAGCCAGTAACCAATAGTTGGCTAATACGCCATTTGTTCCCTCAGGATACTGGAACCCATGTGCACCATTGGTTTGGAATCAGTGTTTTCCAACTCCCCTAGGTGGTCCCTCCGTGTCCACCAACCCGGTTACAGCACTGGACATTGGCTTTTTGCCCTGTCAATTTCGTAGACAACACCTCTGCCGCGAGAAGGCATTGAGTAGGACTTCCTTGACAGTGGTTGTATGCACGTAGCGATGTGAGGGCATTTCGAGAGTGATAGCTGATTGTTCTCACTCTCGGTCGTACCGGGGCATTTACGCTGAACTTTAGGTTTCTTACTTCCTTATCACATCCTGCAATGCTGTAAAGACATAAACGCCGAAATACTAGTAGCTCATACACGTCTTCTACCTCTATAAAACATGTTTCATGAACAACTGAGCACTATGCCCAAAGCCTGACAGACAAATGTACCCTCAAACAAATAGCGAAGATCAAATCATAAACCACTAATCGGTAAGTAAGTTATGTTAAATATTAAGTCTCATGTTAAGTTTATTCATTCAAGAGTTTTGTCTATAAGTTCAGATCGTCTGAGTAATCCAATGTATTAGAAATAATAATGACAAAAACTAAACATTGATAATATGATTCAAGAAAAAGGCATACACAAAGGAATACTGGGACTCAAGACCTAAAGTCAGACAAAGAGTGATTGGATATTCATTATTTCTACTGATCCTTAGCCATATCATCCAATATCTTTAACTATTGATCGTGGTTATCGATCTAAATTCAATGATTTGGTCTGTTCTCATTGCATTGATTAGGAAATCTGACAATCTGAACAGATACCTGTATATAAGAGGTCTAAAGATGCCTATAAAGAAGAATGGCTACCACTAATGTTAAATTTTGCTAATTTAATATAACATCATAATGTAAATCATCCATTTGTCGATCATATTCAACTCATTTTGTGACACTTCATTTAAATATACACATGTGCATATTACATAAACAGTTGAATTTATGACTTTAATACAATTGTTTATTGTGTACCAGTAGAACAATGCCTATGTAACGGATTTAGGCAAAACAATCTCTTGGAGTTAACTAGTAGTAATTATCACTAAACTATTCTCATGAACCTTGTTTTTGCTTTACAAATGAACATACAATTCTAGTGAATACGTTAGTAATATCCAGCCGTTAAGCAAGGTTTGTTAATCTCTTTTTTTCTTTTGAGGATTAACAATACAATCATTTTGTTTACTGAAATGTAGCTTGGTTATGGGCGTCCAAACCAAAACGTGGCATCAGTTCTTGAAGTCGCTAACTTCTAGTCTGAGCCATGTTGGTAGATGCAGACTACTTGGTTGGGGTTGGTGTGACTATCATAACCAATGGTTAGAGACTCTGAGTGATATTGCTCAGAATCGATCACAACGGTGTCGGTGTATACACTCTCTATCTTCCCTTAAACTATGAGATTAAAATTACTTTACATCTTTCTTTCTACCAACTAGCTCTTTCTTCTTGTACTACATCCTGATAAACAATATTTCTCTTATATATTACCACCATTGAATTAACTACTTCTATGAATTCAGTGTTGATTTTTTGTGCACTCAAGATGCCCTGGTATGGCCGAGATTAGGGTGGGAGCGCCCTCCCTCTCGAAATGCTCTCACGCGGCCACGAGCATACAGCTTTTGTCCTACTCACTGTCTTCTCGTGGCGGGGGTGTTCTTTACGAAAATGAGAGGACGAAATGCGAATGTCCGGCACCGGCTTTAAACGGATCCCAAACCAACGGTGCACATGGGCTGGCTCCAGTATCCTGAGAGAACAAATGGTGTATGAACCAATTGTTGGTCACCGGCTACCACGGGACTGCATCTCCTCACGATGCTCCACTGCCTTGTGGGTTAGACCTTTAGGTCAGAGGTTCAGGTTGTGACCCCCTAAGAAAACCACCTGCTTCGATTTGGGAATCCAGGCAGTATCATAACAAAATCATAACAGATGAACAATATGAACACTTACAATATTTCCACGATGTAATGTTAAATGTATTAATAAACGTGAAACAAAACTAGCTGATAATGGATTAACTGGTTGATTAGAATAATGAAAAAATTTCAATAATAAATCTACACGTCGTCGACATGTAGTCATTGATGAATTCATTTGAATAGAATCATTTGATTTAATGACTGTAGATGAATGAGGTGTTGTCAATGACATTGGTGGAGAAAGTTTTAAACTAGATGAGAAGATTTCATTTATATCATTTATTGAATTGTGATGATGATTATTGTTGTCAAATAATTGACTACTATGATGACCATTGATAATAGATGATGATTCATTAATAATAGACATTGAAGATGATAAATGATTGGTACCATCATCATCATGGACATTGGAATAATGATCGATTTGGTGTAGTTCCGATGAATTATTGCTAACTATTAACATATCATTACAACTTTGATTATTATTATTATTATTATTATTATTAATCTCTGTCAAACTATGATCATTGATAATCATTGAAGATGATGGTAAAGGTGAAGAGAAGTAGGATGGTATTGGTATAGACTTTATCTGATTGGATTCTAACATGTGATTATTGTTGTTATTATTACTACCATTATTATGTGACTCGTTAGAAGTATGGTGATCAATTGTTGATTCGGTTAATTCAATTATTCCATCTAGTATTTCATTGATATCATTTGTTAGAATTTCACAAGCTAAACTAGAATATCTGAACAAAAAGCAGGAAACATTATAATTGTGTGTTTTTTTAGGAAAATCAATCAAGTTTTAAAAATAGCAAAGTCGTGTCGCTGATTATACAGAGGTGTATCAGCAGCAAGATGTAGTTGAACATCTACAGCGATGCCACTTACTCCTGCTAATGGAAGGAAGAGGTTGGAAATGATAGGTAACGAAAATGTTATATCTCACCTTACACCCCAGAGCTTTACTTCTCTGGTAGGTAGCAAGGCTTTTTGAAGTTCAAGGCTAACACACATCGAAAACTTGCCACAAAAAAATAGTATGTAACCGGCCCAAGCAGTCATCTTTTGGATTTTACGATTACGCTCCCAGGCCGCTGAGAGCACAACTAATCAAGTTGTTCACTCAGGTTCTCCAAGAAAATAGCCAATAAAAGTGTGGGCAACTGGAAAGTGACAACCGCTACAATACTTTTAACAGCTCACGAAATAGCTTTCTATAAACACACATGTAACGAATATGACCCCTTCTTTGCAAGTAATTAACTATTCACTTTTTTTATAAGGAATGCCTACGATATGAATGTACCTAAAGAGAATCGAACGGCATTAAATTTAGGTGCCAAAACAGGATGGCACATATAGACTTGGTTAACTTATATCACTGAATTGCATGAAAATAAAACTTTCAAGTTTATGCCAACCCCCTCAATACAATTCTAAGGCAACCAGCAATAACGATCAAATAATCCGATTTATTACTAAACTACTCAACTATCTTTTCATTCTGATCACCAATGACTGCAAGTAAATGTCAAATTTTAAGAAATTATTATCATAAAACGACAACCGTTGGAGAACTACTGGCAACACAGATCAATGATGTTGTAACCGTTGCAGTAGTTAAAGATTGTGCACACTGCTGACAAATTTTCTGTCAACCCAAACCAGGTGCTCACGATTCTTATCTATTATTTTATTATTTGAACACACAAATATTGGTACAAGGGGGCACCAAATATATCTGCGTCACACAAAACAATGAGAATGGGAAGAGAAAAAGGAAGGTGAGGTGCATAAAAGGAAAAAAAGAACAATAACGACCACAGATTAGTGTATGGTAGTGAAATAACAATAATAATGATGGGAGAAACGGAAAGGTACGACCAGAAGGAATTCTTTCAGTTAAGGAAGTTACAACCACTTTTTATTACGAAAGTAAAAGGTTACAGCAGGATCGCCACTGGCTTCTATACTGAGCCATATCTGGTAACGTCTCTAGCCACTGTGTTGCACCATCTCTCGGAACCCAGGCAGGGAGTCGTGAAAGACAGACAGAGGCCAGCCCTTTGCAGCTTTCTTTCATACCATGACACAATTTCACATACTGACCACCTCTCCGCGTTTTCCGACCAGTCCCAGTGTCGGAAAATGATGCACAGTGGTCTAATGTTCAAGCGCCCGCGCGTGAGACTGATGGGTCCTGGGTTCGAATCTCGCGGGGAGCGGGATTATGGACGAGCACCGCTGAGGAGTCCCACACTAGGACGAAACAGCCGTCCAGTGCTTTCAGGCTGCCCCCAAATGCCCTGGTGTTGCCGACAGTAGGGAGGGCCCGTTCTCCTCAAAATAGTCTCACACAGCCATGCGTATATAGCCTCTGCCAGGAAAATCCTATTCACTGCCTTCTCGTGGCGGGGATGTTCTTTACGAAAATGAGAGGACAAGAAGCGAATGCCTGGCACCGGATTTAAACGGATCCCAAAGCAACGGTGCACATAGGCTGGCTCCAGTATCCTGAGAGAACAAATGGTGTATGAACCAATCGTTGGTCACCGGCTACCACGGGACTGCATCTCCTCAAGATACTCCACTGCCATGTGGATCAGAACTTTAAGTCAAAGGCTCAGGGTGTGGCCCGCTAAGAAAACCATCTGCTTAGGTCTGAGCACCCGGATAGTATCACAGCCCACATATAAATAAAATAAAAATGATGATACTTACTCTGTTATCTGACGTTAATTTATGATTAGATTTACTTGCGAACTGGCTAATAAGGTTTTATTCATTTGCGTTTTAGTCAGCATACACTAGTTAACTCATCTAATATACTTTGTACAAAGTATACCTGAAAAATGTAAATTAAAACGTGTGTTCCATCTTGTTTTTGACCTATCAAATGGATGTCCTGTACCATAGTATTCATATTCAAAGATTCGAGTCCCGCCCATACATCGACTTCTACTTGAAAAGAATTATGCACATACTGTTTATCAACAAATTTGATCAGTTGTACAAATACCAATCCGTACTAAATTCATGAGAACGACATTAATAAGTTAGGAAGCTAACAAACTGATTGGTGTAATCATAATAATGTGTATAATTATCAAGATATTGGTGTGTTATCTCTATCACAATAAGTAAATACATTTATGTGATTAAAGAAATCAGTTTGTCAGCTTTCTAGCTCTCTGAAAACTGTTAAGCCAACTTTTGGCAGGTAAAGTGAATTCATCTTTGGATTTGTTGACTGCTGACATGTTTTATGCTGAGTATTTTTTAACAACGACCAAGATTAACGTAAACCATCAAATGTTTATAAACAGTCGGAGCTGGAGCTAAGAGTTCTTTGTTAGAAATGGAATAGAAAAAAAACACCTCTAGTAAAACAGACAAACAAGCGCTAACTAATTAAAACACGAAACTGAAGTCGTTACAACTGGACAACCACCTTTAAAACACTATACAACATACCCTTAATAACACTCAGTCACCAGGAACATTTGTTTAGGATGTGGTTATGTATACGGCTTTAAATAAAAAGGTAAGAATGATTTATATCACTTGGATGGTGGAAACTAAACAGGTGTAGCAAAGTTTAAGTATATAGCCCGTTAGTTGGATGTCGATTTCAGGAAAGATGAAATTATGAGCGTTAAAAAACAAGTAGAAAAAGACTTAATCAAGGATTAAATAAGCATAATTGAACTCACCTATACAAATCTCGATTGAAATCAGAAGATTTAGGTGTTTGACTAACTAAATCTATTAGGTAATTTAAATTATCTGGCTTTGATAAACTAAAAAAAGAAATTATGAGTAATTCCAGATAGATGAATAAAAACTTACAAATTAATCAAACGTGGATCTTTTTCACGACATTTTTGTAAAACATCATCATCATCTAGAAGTTCTTTGATTGTGAGATTCTGTAGGAATAAGTAAGAAGGAAGACCATGGATGATACATACCGGTCGTGATAAAATATCATTGATCTGCGAATATGCAGCAGCAGATTCCCAGAACATGGCTGTAAGGTTTGTAAAAGGAATATATTTACATTGATTGTCTAGTAAAGAAATTAAATGTAAAACTTTTAACCTAGCAAAAACTGACAACGAAGTGAATCCTCAAAATATTAGCCGTTATATTACTACAAAGGCTGAACTTAGAAAACAACAAACTAAGCATACATATAGGCTACTATTCACGACTATTGTGTGAACGCCACTGATATTGTCTGGACTCTTAGGATGGATCCCCGTTAACAGTCGCCTATGTGCTGTTTAGCTAAAAGGCTCCGTCAGAACTTGGAATGAGAGGGGCACACGTCGTTGACTTTTCATCATTTCTGCCTACGCTACCACTGACTGCAGCCCGCATGAAGTGAAAGATGACTTTTACAGAAAGCTTTCTGAATTTCTTCATAAAGCTAGACACTCAGACATAGTACAGGTAGCACGTGTCTTTAATGCCCAAGTGGGTAGCTTAAACCAAACAGAAAGACAGTTAAATGAATATTTGAGTATCCCGGCTCAGAGAACAGATAATGGTGACCTTCTGCTGCAACTATGTTCAGACAATCGTTTATTTTTAGCAAACACTAATTTTAAGCATAAGAAGAGACATTGTCTAACACGGTAACTTCTTGCACTAAATCAACAATGGACTCAAATAGACCATATTTTCATGTCACAGTGGAAGAGGCTCGATAGAAGACTGCCGCTCGTCCTTGAGTACATATTTAGACTTGGATCATTGTTTAATACGAGCACGCATTTACTTGCACTTCATTGGACGTAAAAAAGCCACATTAAGAACTCAGCGACGAGAAAGCCAAAGGTAAATTTCAGGAAAACTCGAGATCACATTTGGGCAATTCCGAAAACGAGACTGACCCAGATGTTGCTCGGAAAGATGTATAAACAGCAGTGACATCTATGGGTGATTTGAACCAAAGGGTCATTAAAAACTAAGTCTATTGAACTGATAGATCCACGTAAAATCATCCCATCAGCGTCTGAACACGATGAAGAACGGAAACAAATCAGATCTATGTTAACCAAAAGTCCATGGAACGATCATAAACAGTGGTGGGCAACGAAAGTAAAACATATGGAGAAGGTAGCGGCTGTAGGTAACAAGACAGGATTTAAGACTGGCAAAAGAAACCGTAATTAGGAAGTCAAGTGTAAGTGAAAAAAATCTCGGAAAAAGATGGCATTCTAATCTACTCTCCATTTAGACGTTTAGAGCGATGAGCGGAACACCTTAAAGAGCAATTCAGTTGGATTTCAGCTAACCACCATTTTCAAACACTCTTGATGGGACATTGATGATTGAAATTCAAAGTACTATAGCGAATATGAAGTAAGGAAGAGCAGTTGGTCCAAATGGATTAACTCCAGAGGTCTTCAATGATGGTGGTCCAGTATTGGAGATTAGATTGACTAATATTTTAGCTCAATTTTGGGAACTGGACGCAATCGCTGATTGTGCAATATATAAGAAGGGGTCAAAATCATCCTGTGATAACCATAGAGGGATTGGTTTGACTAACATAACATGACATCTAAAATACTAGCCTCAATAATTATCGGACGCCTAACAAACACTTGTGAACTGCAAACACGAGAAAATCAGGTTGGTTTCAGAATTGGCCTTGACTACATCGACCACATATTCACCATTCGTCAGACATGCTTATCGGCGTCCGAGAATGGTGGTCTTTCTCGACTTAAAAGTAGCATTTGACTCGGTAGACCGCGTGATTATGTGGCAGTGTCCGTCATTGGAAGGTGTACCTCAGAAGTACATAAACCTTGTGAAGGCTCTTTGGTCGGACACTATCAGTCGAATCAGAGCTTATGACGAACCGTCATCTGATTTTGCAACCTCAAATGGTGTCCGGCAAAGCTGCATGAATCCCAAAGGCCTGTCTGGCTTTTGGTAACTTCCATCACCTGTAGTGAAGGCGATATCCGTCTATTAATTAGAGGACAAGTATACTACGCGGCAGTTCGTTCGTACCTACTTTATGGCTGAGAAACATGGCCATTAGGGGTAGAGGATACTCGCCAGTTACTAGTATTCCATCACAGATGTCTTTGAAAAATTGCTTGGACCTGCTGGGATCACTAAGTAATATTGAGGTTAAATGTAGGGTATTAGAGGATGGTGGCAAATCAGTTGGTGAGATGATTATTCATCGACTGAGATGATGGGATAACATATTACGGATGCACAACCATCGACTGCCAAGGCGTGTAATGTTACAGTGTTGGAGACGGATAGAAGAATGTTAAGAGCGGTCAAACTGACCAAAACGTGGTATCAGTCCTTGAACTCACTAACATCTGGTTTGAGGAATATTGACATATGCAGACTACTTGGTTGGGGCCACATGACTATCGTAACCAGTGGTTGGAGACTGAGTTGCATGGCTGAGAATCGACCACAATGGCGTAGGGGCAAGACTATAGTTTACAAACAAACTAGTCAGATATAAGACGAGTCATGGATTTTGGTGCGAAATTCACCCATGCATTTGGCAAATTATCATTTTTGGCATTATTACTGTTAGTTCGTGATGAAAACCATGAATTTCTAACCCCGACCGTCAACTGTAAATCTTAATGCTAGTTCCTCATCGTCGTTTATAGCCCTCATTTGGTCCTAGATAGTAGGTGGACATTCTCATGGTCACTTTGGCATCGCTCAATGGTCGTCCATAAATTGTCTAACGACTAAACCTTTCCCCGTGTATCACATCCTTATATACGACCTTGTTTTTATATATTACAATTGAAATAGCTGCTACTATGAACTTGGTATTTATCCTGTTGTGCTAATGAGGTATGGAAACTTGAATTGATGCATATATGAGCCCGGTCCTACGTTGTAGCCGAGCAACTGACTATCTCCAAATCCTAAAATCAACATCACACAAAACCACGATATTAATGCTATGACATAAACCTAGATTACTGTATGCATTTATTCGGTTTTATCACCGTCAAAAATTTTTACTATGAATTTTAAAGTCAATTTATTTACAATACAGTCAGTGAGCAACAAATCTCTAGAATGACGCATCTTACCGTTAACTGACTACATGATTTTTAGATATGTTCCGTGATCCAGAAGCTATTCGCACGTCGGTTATTAGGAAAATCAACGACCACAGTCAGTCGGCTAATACCTTAACTAATTGCGAGGCTAAGTTTATCAATAACTAGCGAGTTATTAAAAAGCCATACGTCTCATAACTACACCTTTAACATACTATTCTATCTCAATCTAATACGGATACAGCCTGTCTTGCAGAGTTACTTCGATAAATTGATGAACCATGCTTGGATGTTATTTATTATCACTAATACAGAGTCAACTTAACAAGTACACATGTATTTTGATGATGTGGTAGCGCTTCTTATTCTGATGAAAAAGAAAGCTCCAACAAAATAAATGAGGGCAATAAATCCGATGGTGACCATAAATGACACAAATAAGAGGCGGCATTAACAAGATAAAAACTACTTCTGGAGTTCAGTTTCCAACAAGCGAACAGTCAAAATAATATTGGACTGCACAAACCCCAAGTATGACCTTGCGAGACTTAAATTATGAAGCCCGCACAATTACTGTTAGCAAAAAGTTATTTTAAACTACAATACACTGACTTTCATGGAATGGATAACGTTTACAGGCTCTCATGGCTAATGATATGTTAATATTATTCTCAATAAAGAGTATCGTTCTTTTTTTAACTACTTTCGCTACACTACTTTGCTTGGACTGATATTGGTTTCTGAGCATCAAAACAAACCGTTTTTCGTTTCAAATACAATTTACCCAACCACTGAATAAAAGAAATGGCACCAGTTCAACAATGATTTCTTCGGCGATCATTATGCTAATAGTTGAAGTAACCATCATTTTTATGTTACTTGTTGTTTCACACTATTTCTTATCTCAGTGTGAAATTCTATTACATTTTTGGTTTGTAAGAGGGCTGATGAAAAAACTCAAAATATTATGAATTCATACTATTCCGCATAGATAGTTGTTCTTGCTTTATTTGAATTCGTGAAGGGAACCAATTGCATGATTACAAGAATATCGTTTATTATACAGAAGAAAATAAAGATAGTAAAACTCAAAATTAGTAGATCAATCGAAACTTAATTTTTATTTCAATCATACCACCTGTTTTTTAATAGCGTACTTTCCTGGGGTCGACTTGCATCTTGACTGTTGCCTGCCTATGTCAGAGAGGCCACCTGAAACGGAGATCAGCTTGTTGTTGAGCTTTTCCTCGTAGTGAGGCTGCTGATAAATTGAAGGTATCAGGCAGGATATCAAGGGGGAAGATTTACTCCTGTTGATGGGTCCTCTGGGGCTGTCGCCTTCCATAGTTGGTTGAGGTGTCTAGTCCACGTCTTTCTTCCCATCTTTACCTCGTAAATAATATGGCCCAGTCTTCCAACCACACATGCTTCGATCCAAGGACCATGATTTGCTCTGTAGTCTCGAGCGAAAATCGGGCATCCAACCTCATACGCTGGCAGCTCCTGAGATTTGTTCTCAGATGGTGGTGGTGTGGTCTGTTGGCACATCGGACTGCGGATCGTCCTCAGTTTCCTCCCCATCAGGATCCCTGCCGGGGACGTCTGCTGTTGTAGCATATCACTAGGTGTTGTTCGGTACACAAAGAAGAAATTCTGAAGTGCTTTTAATAGCGTCTTCTCTGCTTTCGACTACACTAGAGCTCTCTTGAATGTACCCATAAATCGTTCTGATTGGCCTTTTGACTGTGAATGATAAGGTGTACTCTTGCACAACTCCTCTGTCTCCAAACATCAAGCACTCAATTAGGACACTTGATGAGTACCGACGGTCGTAAAGCTGCTTTAAGTCACGAATAGCGGTTGTCGGGTAACACTGCGCGTGGTCCTCTGTCATTAGAGAGGCAATAATTGCATCTTCGTCGATAGTAGGATAATCGCTGATAAGTTGTGACAAGGCGTCAGCACGACCAAACTCTTGGGTGCGACGGTACTGAATGTCAAAATCATAACCCAAAAGTATCAAAGCCCATCGCCGGAGACGGTATGAGGAATGAACAGGAGTACCAGATTTCGAACCATAAATTGCAGGAAAAGGCTTTTGGTCAGTGAGAAGAGTAAATCTTCGACCGTACAAGAATTTGTGTAAACAGCGTACTGCGAACACAGGGGCAAGAGCCTCTTCCTCTATTTGACTGTACTTTCTTTCCGCTGAAGTTAATGTGAGAGATGCGTACATAATAGCTTGCTCTGTTGCATCCGGGAACTGATGTGAGATGGCAGCACCGAATCCAAAAGCTGAAGCATCTGCAGTGATAGGCATGGACGAACCGTAGTGTGTCGGTACTAGTTCAGAGCTCATGATTGTTTTCAGCTTGCAAAATATAGCTTCACATTCTTTTGTCCAGTTCCAGATGGTATTCTTATTCAGAAGATGATTTAGCTGGGCGCGTATGTCATGCATCGACGGAACAAAAGCTGAGTAGTAACTAATTAATCACAAGAATGATCGTAGCTCAGGGATATTAGTGAGAGTCGGCATCAGCTGTTCTAACGATGTGACATCCATTAAGGCATCATCGAGATAAGTTGCGACCCCCGAGATACCCGATAGAATGGTATCGATTGGTCGCTAAAAAATAGATGGATCTGTTTTAACACCAAACGGTAGGCGATTGTACTGAAACAAGCCACGGTGAGTATTTATAGTGAGTAACTCTCTCAAATCTTCAGCCACTTTCAATTGTGTTAACACCTGTTGAAAAATCTGCGCATATTAGGATTGTGCCATTAACCTTTCTGATAACCACAATGGGTGCTGCCCAGGCAGAATAAGAAACAGGTGTAATTACTCCCTGTAGTTGAAAGCGGTTAAGTTCTTCGTCAAATTTCTATAATTCTGCGTACAGCGCTGGTCTCTTTGGACGGATAAAAGGTTAAGTCCCAGGTGCCAACCGAGCTGTTGCTTTCATGGCAGTGCATTGACCTAATACAGGTTGGAAAATATAGTTGAAAACTCTGTCATTAGTTCTTTCGAATATGCTTCAGATTCATGAGGTTGTTTCACCAGTCGGCGTACGGTGCTTAACGGAATGTCAGCTACATGTAGCCGGTCAAACCAGTCTAGATCAAGTAGATTAAGATCAGCCGGTGCGATGTAACATATTCCGGTAAACGTCGAATCGTGAAAAGACACTTAACAATCTAGTTGTCCCAACAAACTCAGATAATTACCGCATGCAGTTTGAGGTTTCTGTGTTGTTGGCACCGTGCGTGGTCTTCCCATTCTGATCCAATATTTTCGTCAGAGAATTGTCACGTCAGATGCAGTGTTTAATTGCAATCTAAACAGGTGCCTATTAGTGTTAAGGGTAATAAATTTCCTCTCACCTGAGGTTGAGTTCTGACAGCTTGCTATTAAACTCATCGAATTCGCGTTGGATCTAGGTCTAGGCCAATTGTCATGTAAGGTCGTCGCAATTGTTGTGTCGAAAAAAACGCTGATCACTTATGCTCGGAACTAGCGACCTCGGTGATTAACACTATGTGAAAGTAAGAGCACAAGACTAATATAAGCGAAGATTTATTAGCCTCAAACACTACGACAGCGACGAATCATAATAGTCTAAAATACACTGGTTCATTTATTGATCGTACACCCATTTTGATTATTAATTAAGATTAAATAACATACTGAGTATAGTTCATGTCAAGTGAATACAAGAATGTCGTTTATTATACAGAAGAAAATATTGTACTTGGAAAACAATTAAATACTGATCATCACATTGAATTATAAGGGAAGTAATTTTGAACAAAACTTCTGATGAGTAAATCAATCGAAAATTGACTTTTCTTTCCATTATATCAAGTTTATAATGATCTTTAAAATATTCCAAATAAATGTCTATGAATGTCTGTGGAGTAGTTGAAACACTCATTGGAAAAGAATCCGATAACCGTGTCCAATCATTGTGTCGTTGTGTTTACCATTGCTGCATTTACAATCGATGACTATATTTAAAGAAAATTGTAAACTGATGACAAGTATGATATGTTCATACATCAATAGGAAAACACAGTAGAGTAATGAAAAATGTTCTTGTTCACTGTGTTCATACAAATAATATGTTGTGAATATCATCACCTGTAATTATGAAAAGGTAAATGATTAGTTCATCATCAATCCATACATATCAACATATGTATCAGTGAAATAATAGACATCTATAGATATAGGGTTATCAACTTAGTAATTTCTCAACATTCCTACATAACAAATAAACAGTAAGTGTCTTGTATTTTGAACCGTCAAATAATAACAGATAATCGTTTGCCTATCGGAGTGTAACAGAAAGAGAACAGTAAAAATCCCTCTGCAGCTTCTTTGTTGAACAGTATTTTCATTTATTTGTTCCTTCTCCCTTTTGTGTATTCCAACCCTTGTTTCGATCTCGTTTAACCATGTCTTTTGTTCTTCAGTCTTCCCCGTTTGAGCCTTTATTATGTGATTTTGATTAAAGACTTATTTTTGTTACCTAATTTTCTATTGCATGTCGCCGGACCATTGACAATAAGGTTGTGTTTGACTAAGCTCAAGGTCACGGCGTGGTTCAGTTTGTGACTGTTAACCTTCTGACTGTCTGCTTGGGAGAATTGCTGCAATCCCTGCAGATAGATATGTGATCCCATCTTATTGGGAATATTTGTATTGATTCTCAGGTATCAAACCCTTTAGCGTTAACTGTCTCTTTCATTGTTTAGCGCGCTACTTTGCGTTAGAGAAACTTCTGACTGTATAGCACAGGCTGTACCGTTTGAGGTATTTTGTATTTTTGATGTAATTTGTTCTGTTTTCTTAATTAGAACCGTTTATATTGAGCACAGAGTTTGTGTTTTGATATAATATAATATGAGTATCTCAAAGACGCGTGGTGGGCTATACAGAGGAACTTGGTCTGGTCTAATCGAATAAATTTTAGGTTCGTCAGTCCGTTGTTCCAACCGGATATTGGCTGTTCGGTCGTTACACGGAGCATCATATAAATTGAGCCATTCAACAACTCAACGCCTCTCTTTCAGCCATTCAGCTTTGCATCTCGTTATGTTTGTTTCGAAATGTTTCATGATGATTTCTTGTGATTGCTGTGGACAGAGAACACTGATGCATCAAAGTTCTGATTTCAACAGAACGATATCTTCGGATGCATTATAATTGATGCACGGATCTTTGTATTTGAATTGACTGATTTATTCGGAACTTACAATTAACATTTCACCGCACCAACAAACCAAGATTGCATATGGTAGACCACTCTAAAATAATGGAAAGAAAACAATTGACTTCAATTGATGATATATCTATATAATTATTAGGAACACTGTTACTATCTGAGCAAATCATTGGCAAATCATTAGTAATCGCCAATCACCACTAGTTTATGGAAATCTGTGATAAGACAAACTTACGTTTCATAATATCGTCAACACAATCATGAGAATGAATCCCATTGACAAAAATACATCAGCCATCGCAAACAAGACTATCATCCATTTCCTTTCTGAACCACGAAGCTTTACACCCAATAAAATGGCTATGATAACGAGCACGGTAGCCACAGTTACAGAAATAAGTTGTTCGTACCATTTCGCAAATGACATTAGTAATGCAACACCAACATTTATGAAGATCATCTGACTATGGAAAATGTAGTGTGATATTACTATCAGTTCAGAAATTGAACCGGTCAACAAATGGACAAATGTTGAAAGATTAATCCACACTGTTCTGCATTCGATTGAAATGCTTTAAAATGAATATTTATGGATACAAGCACATAACAAGAAATCCTTATGCAAATCTGTAATAATGACAAATGTAAAATGATTTCAAACCTAATTCCCTCATCCCCTACATACGACCATTTCATATGAGATTTATTACCTAAAGGGTGGGTTAACCAAGTACTACGACAGCTAGTAATGTCTGAGACTTGAAGCACTAAATGATGACTTGTGTATCATACAACACAAGTTCAGCGATAGACAAAGTGTGTGGATGATTATACAAATGAAAATCACAGAAATCCTATTTGTTTAGTTATTCTTTGTTTAAAATTCATTCCACATCTTGCAAACGGTTATAACAACAAACGTAGATGATAGTACAATGTACCGGTATGATGTGTATCAACGTCTACATATTTCTGAATTATTCAATAACATGGACGGATACCTTGTATTCACCAGTTAACAGTTAAGTAATAGCTCATGATATAACCTGATCATCAATGAAATCGGTGAAACTATGGAAACTGCCTTCTTTAACAATATGACATCTCCCAATTCACCATCGAAAATCATCTGTTCAAGTCAACTTTCAAACATTCTTTTATCTCGATCACCGTTATCACACTGACATGACAACATGTTTACGATTCAACAAACAATAAACCAACTGAATTTAATCGATCATTGGATGAAAATATCATGAATATCATTTTAAACAATATTCAACTGACGGTTATCACGATGAAGATAGTGTTCATTGTGGATGTAGAATGTAGCTCTCTTATGAATATTATTATTAATCCAAGAACTAATCCGACCAATCTAAAGAACAAAATAGAGAAATGTACAACATACTAAACTCACAGATACAATGGACAATAGTGATATGCATAAAATGTTCTACATAATCTGTATGCATGAAATGGTTGAACAAGTACCTCAACTCCTCAGTTCGACATTTTCAAAAGTATATGAAACTTGTCAAAATAATCGATGAGTGGAATACCTAATGTGTGGTCGTCTTAAATATCTTAATTCAACCTCAAAATGCCCTGATACTGCTGATGGTGGAAAGAATTAGCTCTTCTTCTCGAAATCCTCTCACATGGACACGCATATATAGCCACTGTCAGAGGAGTCCTACCTACTGCCATCTCATGGTGGCTTTGTTTATGAAATTGATTGGACGAAAAGCGAATGCCCGTTGCTTTAATCGGGTTAGTGGACACGGAAAGTCTACATGGGTGAGTTGGAAAACACTGATTCCAAACCAATGATGCACATGGCTTCAGGATACTGAGGGAAGAAACGGAATCCGATTCTATTGTCGATTGCTGGCTACCGTGGAGCTGCATCTCCTGACGTCGCTCCACTGCTTTGCGGATCAAACGTTTTGGTCGAAGGGCTCCTGATGTAGCTGTCTAGGAAAACCACCTGCTTCGGTGTGGTCAACCAGGCAGTGTCACAGCCCACAAACAAATCAAGTGACTTGTATGGCGTATATGTATTCGCTGACCCTTTGTACCAATATTTATGAATTGAAATAAATACATAAATACATTTCATTATAATCACTTATTGTGATGTGATGTATCACAAAATGAGAATAGTTTGTACTGGAAACGAGAGAAACTAATTTTCTGTCCCTCAATCATAATATTCTTGTCAAACATAGATCGAATTCTTCATCAAAGTGTATTATTCACTTCATTGAATGATACGTAATAGAAATACATTTGACCTTGTCGTTATGATTTTTGTGTGATAACTGCATTTAAAACATATTTTACTTACGTTAATATGAAACCACTGAGAACAACTGGATGTGTATAACAAAGAAAGCTGAATCTGTCAAATGGAATGATAAATGTCTTACATGCATGTAGAATTCTCGTGACAGGTTTCGTTTGACACATTATTAACTGCGAATTCCATTGTCGTTGAACTATCAACAATGGAGATTTGTGAACAATTCACAAATGAAAATCCACCTTCTACAACCAGTAATTCCAACTTACGCTGAAATAGGTAAGAATTCACAATACAGTGCTGGAGATAATCAATTTCATGGATTACATAAACCCTAACAAATTTCATTCACACGCCTATTTCTTTCCTTTATCAATGCATTTCAACAAGTCTGGATTCATGGACTGAATTCGAATTCCATTTGACTTGTTTGCTTTATCATCTCGACGAGATTAATAACGAATATTGAAAGTCGATGAACATTGATCTCATTAGATTCACTTTGGCTGCTCACTGCATACATTGGTTTAAGGTCATAAACATGATTGCGCTCAATCCAGTGAATATAATTAACATGGAGCAATCTAATCATCACCATAAGTAATACTCAGTGGATTATGTTATTTCTCCATTATTCTCTTCTGTGATTTTCACAAAAGATTATGTCGTATTGTAATGTGTGCTGAAAGCACTGAATAGTGTGTGCAGTGAATCTTTTGAGATTATTACAAATACGTTGTTGATAAACATTCGAAATTCTGCGAAATGCTGACAAGTGATTTCCTTCCAATTATTTACCAGCCAATGAATTCTTATCTTTCTCCTTCAATGAGCATCTCTCGTGTTTGTAAACGAAATTAGTTGGAATTATTTGTGCTTAGAGTTTTATATTGTATTTAGCCTATAATATCGAACGCTACCATTGCCATTGGTACTCATAGCACAACTTATCAACGAATCTAAACTCATGCTTAATTCATAATATTCGATAGAAATTAACAAACTCACATGGAATGATTCTGATGTTCAGTAAAACTGATTCAATAAAATCACACAAATTTATAATGATATTCACCAATTACTTTGATTCAACTTTGTTAACTTATGGATGGTTACTTTTTTCATTGAACTTTGGTTAAGCCGTCTTTGTATTAAACAATAGAATAAGTGATTGGTTAGAAATAAAGCAAGCTCATTAGACTGTTAGTTCATTATTAGTGAATGAGTGATAGCGTAGTGAAGACCAACGCCAGTGGGGACAATCGAATGAATTTAACACAAAATTACAGGACCTGTTAATAAAATCTAACAATCATCATTTAGATGCTTAAGTTGCAAAATGTCCATCACTTGTGTCATAATGACTCAGACTTCATTGTTCTTGCATTTTCATACAAACTGCATCCTGTTTTTGTTCTTGACTGTTCGATCCTATTGTCTCTTTGCTGCCAGACCTTCTATTCACGACTAACATCATCTAATACTTATGTCCATATATAAGCAGCACACACCACAATCGCACCTCGAAGAGAGAATGATCTTGTCGCTTTGATGTACTCAATGGTTGGATGAATTCTCTACAGAGTAATGACGTCAGTCGAGACACCATCAAAACAATAATGATATTCGCATATTTGTTTTTTACCAGTATGATTAGTTTCTGTGGTCGAAATCGACACATCTTCTACACCATCAGTATATACGTATTTATGTAATGTGATTGTTTAAGGAAGTCGTTGAGGAAACCTAAACCTAGGTTTCATGTGAATACACCGTCGTGAGTAAGCCGTAACTGTAATCTTGAGGAAAGTGATGCTTGCGATTCCATGTCTACTAACCTCACCATTGGAGACGTTGCCACTGAAATGTAATGAATCTTAAACAAATCATCCTGTTGATACGGTTTTATCGTCCATTTCCATTATAATTATTTATTGTTGTTATCACTCCTATATTTTGATAAAATATTCTGTGATATAACGTCACTGCAGAAGTTTATATTTTCATATTTATTCAATTGCTTTCAATGAACGATACGTAGTATCACTGCCCTGTGGATGAAGACGGTGGATGTGATGCAGATATGAAGGCGCGGATCGGCAAATCAAGAACAGCATAGCTACAAATGAAGAACATCTGGAACTGAAAACAACTATCAACCAACATCAAAGTCACAGTTTTCAATACAAATGTCAGAACAGTTCTACTGTGTGTGGCGGAAACCTAGATAATTTCAAAAGCCATCACCAAGAAGATACGAGTGCTTATTAACAGTTGTCTACGCTAAATACTTCGGATCCGTTGGCCAGACACTACACTATCAGCAACAACCTATTGTGGAAGCGAACAAAGCAGATTTTAACGGAGGATGAAATCGGGGATAGGCCCTTGAAGTGGATTGGACACACATTGAGGAAAGCACCCACCTGAGTCACAAGGCAAGACCCCACCTGGAACCATCAAGGCAAGGTCAAAGTAGAAGAGGAAGATCAAATAACACATTACACTGGGTAATGTAGACAGACATGAGAAAAATAAACAGAAATTGTATAGAACTGGAAACGATGTCTCAGATCAGAGTGGATTGGAGAATGCTGGTCGGCAACCTATGCTCCATTAGGAGTAACAGACGTAAGTAAGTAAGTAAGAAATTTTTACTAACTTCTTTCACAGACAATGTTATTTGAACAGTGTCAAATCGCTTGATAATTTGTAGTATTTTGATCACTATGTTGTCTCTGTAAACATGTACGCTTGGTCATATGATAGACTCTAGCTACGGATGTAGAACACTTCAATATTGCTCCATGATTCATTCTCTTTTTCATGTATATGTGTACTCAAATCCTATTATTAGTCTTTGCCTTGCCTAGCTGCGCCCCATTCGATTTGACTGTAAATTTGTCTCTGTATTCGCTTGCATACATACATTCGGCTCTGTGCTTCGAATTCGTTTGACGTGCTTGTAGCTTACTGATTCATGCTATTCACTTCTTACTGAATTCTGATGTTCGATCATCATTAAATTCCAGACTTATATAAAGGTTTTTATTCGGAACGGAACGACTAGATTTCTTGTCGTAACTACTTCTGTTCATATTCTTTTCTGTGAACCATTCTGGGTAACCATTTTCCGTCAAGGTTTCCTTGAGGAATGCGAGTTCTTCGTTATTTCATTCCGTACTGCGTATGTGATGTATTCGATAACATAAAGAATGGACGAGCTTTCTCTTCCTACTTTACGGAACTCAGTTACAGAAGTTGGTTAGCTGGCCATTCCATGTTTGTTTTCTAACGATGAATCGTTTTAAAGGACCATTACTCGTTCTCATCAGACGTACATCGAGAAAAGGAATTGAATGGTCTCGTTCTCTTTCTAACGTGGAGTCTGTGAAAAGGGTGGTATGAGTTAAAGGTGTTTAGAATATCATTAAAATCAATATTGTCGTCACAATCGAAAAACGTGTCGTCCATGTATCTCACGTATAGATGGAATGGATTGATCATTGAACGTAGTGGGTCGTTTTCTACTTTTGCCATGAAATAGTCTGCTAAAATTGGACCCAATGGAGACACCAATGCGATCCCATCCCCCTGTCTATATATTTCATTATTGAAACTGAACCGGACATTAAAAGTACAGCGTAACAATAGTTCTTTCAAGTGTTCAGTCGGCAAACCTAGATCTATGTTGTTAGAATCAATATGCTCACATATAACACATATCGTTTCGGTTAAAGGTACGCTAGTGAACAAAGAATTAAGGTCAAGCGAGAACATGTGTTTTTCGGAAGTATTAACGTCCTTAATACGATCAATAAATTGAAAAGTATAATGAATACAATATTTGGATAGATGCCTTCTAACCGGTTCCAACTTTTCCGCTAACTATTTGGCGATTCTGTGATATAGTGAACTTGACATGTCCAAAACAAGTCGTAACGGTAAACCCGGCTTATGTACTTTCGGTAGCCCATATAAGCGCGGGATGATTGAACCCATGGGACGTATGTGATTATATAAATCTTGGATTACTATCCCCTTATTTTTAACAACATCTCTTAGCCGTTTTTCGATTTGCAATGTTTTATCAACTTCTCCTTTAGGTTTGGAGAATTTAGTACCATCCTCTGGAATTAACTACATTTTATCCAAATATTCTTGGCTGTCAAGTAGTGCTACACCAGCTCCTTTGTCAGGTTTACTTAGGATGAAATCCTCATTTCTTTCAACAGTATTAGCTGATCCAATTAGTTCTTAGTTAATAGCTTATTCTTACTACATTGTGCAATAACGTACCCATGACTGTAGTCCAGTAATGTGGATTTAAAATGCTGAAGATTTTGTGGGGATTTTGGCACAAAATCATGAGTTTGATTTGATGGATTTTCGAATTGCATTTGTATATGAAGTCTACTGGTTTTGAAGGTGCTGTTATAGAACTTGGGACCCAATGATAAGGCCTGTATTTGGATTGGCGTAAGTTTAATAGAAGAATGATTTTAAACATACTTTTGTGGACATGTTGTCTGCCTACTTATATGTGGAAGTAAGATGTTCGATGTTGTCTGGACAACCAATGGAAACCATACATCTAAAACAATGTCAGACAAACAAAACCAATCACTGAAAAATAAGTCATTTGTCAAAATCACGACACGTTTGTACTTCGGAAGTACGGTTGTTGAACAAATCATTCCAGTCTATTCGGTGGTTGTATAATTGAAATGCGCTTCAATGCCTGTTTGCATTCTAAATGAATATTTTCTATCCAGACATTTACACCAACAGGCAACATCTATTTAACAGAATATCTTTATAAATTTTGGGGTGATCTGGAAAAGGTCTCGCTAGAGACAAGCAAGTATCAGGAAAACACTAAAAAGCAATTTATACAATCAGCGTTCACTTGTGGTTTAGACAGAAACATCGAGAAAGTGAAAAGTCACTTGTAGAGTTTTTGATTAGATGATTACTATACTGCTATGATGTTTAGTGGCATTCCAGAATATTCGGGAAACATCTAAAATATTATAAAAACCCTATATTTTTTGTACTAGAATGAACTTTTGGAGTGAAGCACTTCTCGCATACTTTGCGCTTTTACTCTCGCATTTAGATCGATGTGTAGTTCCAGCTTGTAGGTTACACAAATGGCTTAGGAAACAAATAAAGCGTTCAATTATCAAAACATATCAATAAATATTAGAATAGTTTACAATCATCTTCAATATACTTCACATGAATAATTTGAAAACTAATTTAAACACTCTTTGTAACAGCATCTATTCATCGTGTCAAATCATTTTCTAATTCACAGTTTGATTATTCCAATTACAATCGAGGAGTGCATTTAAAGAAAATTGTAAACTAAGGACAAGTACGATATGTTCATACACCAATAGGAAAACACTGTAGAGTAATGAAAAATGTTCTGGTTTGCAGTAACTCTCCAGATAATATTTTGTACATATAATCACCTGTAATTATGAAAATGTAAATAATTAATTCATCATCAATGTATTCATATCAACATATGTATCAGTGAAATAATAGACATTTACAGATATAGGGTTATCAGCCTAGTGATTTCTGAACATTCCTACATAACAATTGAACAGTCAGTTCCTTGTATTTTGGTCTGTCACATATTCACAAATGATCGTTTGTATAAAAGAGTTAAGGAAACGAAATGAGCGATATATACTTCATCAATCAATTTCTCCCTTTCAGACATTGAGCTTTGCATCTCGCAATGTTTCCTTCGAAGTGTGTCGTGATGAATGCTTGTGAATATTGTGAATAGAAAACGATAATGCCTCAAAGTTCTAATTTCTACAGAACGATATCTTTGAATGCATAATAATCAATGAACGGTTATTTGTACTTGAATTCGCTTATTCATTCAGAACTTACAATTATCATTTCGCCGCACCAACAAAACAAGGTCACAACTAGTATACTTTTCTAAAATAAAGGAAATAAAACAATTCACCTCAATTCAACTTGTATCTACATGATTATCAGTGAAGAAACAGTATTACTCTACCAATTTACTTCACCGTTTTTAAAGTAATATGTAGCTGACTGGCTGACTGTCTTCAAGTAAGAGTTCAATCAGTCATTTATCCTCAATTTCGTCATCATATAACCATCCTGTCTCGAGCTTGACAGTTTTCTAAATTACGAATTAGTTTCGTCATGGACTGTGTCATGTTACATTGAAGCTACCGATTCCACGAATGAGAAATCGTTGGTTGAAGATGTATTGTTCTGGTTTTGCTGTAATTACCATTTTGTTACACAATCATAACATATAGAAAGTACTGAGAATCAATTTCTCAAATGATAACATTATTTCATGATGCTTTGAATTAACAACATACAGTGTAAACTCCACATAAGATTGCAGATGTTTAACAGTTTCAATCCATGTATAATTTAAACTGGTTTCATTTTGCAACTTATGCGCGATAACAACATCATGGCGCAAATCATTTTCTTATTTAGAATGACCGCATATCGATGAAAGTAAACGTCCAAAGCAGCTGAACATGTATTAGAAAACAAAGATTCCTTTGGAATATTCCTCGATGAAATATTAATTTGCAAATGTATTTCTATTTCAGTGTAGGAAACATTTTACCGGTATTCATGTTGGGAATATTTTCTTAGGAAAATGTAGCTATTCAAGTAAACCTTTGGAAAATCAATAGTTATCATTAATCACTACCAGTTTGTGTAAAACTATGATAAGACCAACTTACGATGTTAAATATCACTCCGAAAATGAAGAAAAGAAATCCAATTGCCACAAATACAAGACATAATGTGAACAAAACTAACTCCCATATTGCTTTTGAACCTTGTATTTCTACCTCCAGTAAAATCGCTATGATAACGAGCACGGTAGCCACAGTTACAGAAATAAGTTGTTCGTACCATTTCGCAAATGACATTAGTAATGCAACACCGACATTTATGAAGATTATCTGAATATGGAAAATGTAGTTCAGAAATTGAACCGGCCAACAAATGGAAAAATAGTGAAAGACTAATCTACACTGTTCTGCATTCGATTGAAATGCTTTGAAATGAATATTTATGGATACAAGCACATAACAAGGAATCCTTATGCAAATCTGTAATAATGACAAATGTAAAATGATTTCAAACCTAATTCCCTCATCCCCTACATACGACCATTTCATATGAGATTTATTACCTAAAGGGTGGGTTAACCAAGTACTACGACAGCTAGTAATGTCTGAGACTTGAAGCACTAAATGATGACTTGTGTATCATACAACACAAGTTCAGTGATAGACAAAGTGTGTGGATGATTATACAAATGAAAATCACAGAAATCCTATTTGTTTAGTTATTCTTTGTTTAAAATTCATTCCACATCTTGCAAACGGTTATAACAACAAACGTAGATGAGAGTACAATGTACCGGTGTGATGTGTATCAACGTCTACATATTTCTGAATTATTCAATAACATGGACGGATACCTTGTATTCACCAGTTAACAGTTAAGTAATAGCTCATGATATAACCTGATCATCAATGAAATTGGTGGAACTATGGCAACTGCCTTCTTTAAAATATGACATCTCCCAATTCACCATCGAAAATCATCTGTTCAAACCAACTTTCAAACATTCTTTTATCTCGATCACCGTTATCACACTGACATGACAACACGTTTACTATTCAACAAACAATAAACCAACTGAATTTAATCGATCATTGGATGAAAATATCATGAATATCACTTTAATTAATATTCAACTGACGGTTATCACGATGAAGATAGTGTTCATTGTGGATGTGGAATGTAGCTCTCTTATGAATATTATTATTAATCCAAGAACTAATCCGACCAATCTGAAGAACAAAATAGAGAAATGTACAACATACTAAACTCACAGATACAATGGACAATAGTGATATGCATAAAATGTTCTACATAATCTGTATGCATGAAATGGTTGAACAAGTACCTCAACTCCTCAGTTCGACATTTTCGAAAGTACATGAAACTTGTCAAAATAATCGATGAGTGGAATACCTAATGTGTGGTCGTCTTAAATATCTTATTTCGTCCTCAAAATGCCCTGATACGGCTGATGGTGGAAAGAATTAGCTCTTCTTCTCGAAATCCTCTCACATGGACACGCATATATAGCCACTGTCAGAGAAGTCCTACCTACTGCCATCTCATGGTGGCTTTGTTTATGAAATTGATTGGACGAAAAGCAAATGCCCGTTGCTTTAATCGGGTTAGTGGACACGGAAAGTCTACATGGGTGAGTTGGAAAACACTGATTCCAAACCAATGATGCACATGGCTTCAGGATACTGAGGGAAGAAACGGAATCCGATTCTATTGTCGATTGCTGGCTACCGTGGAGCTGCATCTCCTGACGTCGCTCCACTGCTTTGCGGATCAAGCGTTTTGGTCGAAGGGCTCCTGATGTAGCTGTCTACGAAAACCACCTGCTTCGGTGTGGTCAACCAGGCAGTGTCACAGCCCACAAACAAATCAAGTGACTTGTATGGCGTATATGTATTCGCTGACCCTTTGTACCAATATTTATGAATTGAAATAAATACATAAATACATCTCATTATAATCACTTATTGTGATGTGATGTATCACAAAATGAGAATAGTTTGTACTGGAAACGAGAGAAACTAATTTTCTGTCCCTCAATCATAATATTCTTGTCAAACATAGATCGAATTCTTCATCAAAGTGTATCATTCTTCATTGAATGATACGTAATAGAAATACATTTGACATTGTCGTTGTGATTTTTGTGTGATAACTGCATTTAAAACATATTTTACTTACGTTAATATGAAACCACTGAGAACAACTGGCTCTGTATAACAAAGAAAGCTGAATCTGTCAAATGGAATGATTAATGTCTTACATGCATGTAGAATTCTCGTGACAGGTTTCATTTGACACATTATTGAATGCAAATTCCATTGTCGTTTAACTATCAACAATGGAGATTTGTGAACAATTCACAAATGAAAATCCACCTTCTACAACCAGTAATTCCAACTTACGCTGAAATAGGTAAGAATTCACAATACAGTGCTGGAGATAATCAATTTCATGGATTACATAAACCCTAACAAATTTCATTCACACGCCTATTTCTTTCCTTTATCAATGCATTTCAACAAGTCTGGATTCATGGACTGAATTCGAATTCCATTTGACTTGTTTGCTTTATCATCTCGACGAGATTAATAACGAATATTGAAAGTCGATGAACATTGATCTCATTAGATTCACTTTGGCTGCTCACTGCATACATTGGTTTAAGGTCATAAACATGATTGCGCTCAATCCAGTGAATATAATTAACATGGAGCAATCTAATCATCACCATAAATGATACTCAAATGGAATTATGTTGTTTCTTACATTAATCTATTTCTTTCACTTCGACATATTTGTGTTTGAAAAGTGAATATCATGCAATCGAGGCATGATCATCCTCCCACTTTGTCAAGTATTCTGATGATCTCATGGTGTGCAGAGGGATTGAGGATTTCTGTCTCTTCATAGTCTCTTAAAATGAGTGACTTTTTGTATGCCAGTGAACGATGGTCTGTTTTTATTTTTCTCGTACCTACTCCTATTAAATTTTAAATTGCAAACTTTACACTTAAACACGAATAACATTCAAACATCACGTTGTAATTTCTCTTCATCTTCTCCTGTGCTATTGAAATGAAGGAAATTTCTCCATTCGTATTTTGATGCAGAGAAACCAAATACATTTTGCGTTGCTCGACATTTATATTGAAGATTTATTGAGTTTTGTATTTCACTTGCTAATCACTAACGTTCTCCACGATTCTTCCCAATGATTTCCGGTAAAGGTTATGTCGCATTGTGGAGAGTGCTGACGGTAGAGAGTAGGGTGTGTGGTGAATCTTTTGAGATCATTACAAGCATGATTGTTGATAGACATTGAAAATCTTGCAAAATGCTAGGAAGTGATATCCTATCAAATATTTGCCATCAATTTCATTCATATCTCTCACCCTCAATATACTTTAGAAGGATGAAGCACCAAAAGATGGGAATATCTCTCATATTTGTAAAAGAAACTCGTTGAAATCATTTGAGCTCAGTGTTCTCTATTGTTGTTAGCCTTTAACATTGAACGGAATAATTGCCATTGCTACTTAAAATATAACTTATCAACAAAACTAAACTCATGCTTAATTCATACTATTCGATAGAAATTAACAAACTCACATGGAATGGTTCTGATGTCAGTAAAACTGATTCAATAAAATTACACAAATTTATAATGATATTCAACAATTACTTTGATTCAACTTTGTTAACTTATAGATGGTTACTTTTTTCATTGAACTTTGGTTAAGTTAACTTTGTACAGAACAACGGAATAAGTGATTCTATTAGAAATAAAGCAAACACTTTTTAGTTTCTGTTCATTTTGAACAAATATGTGATAGCACATTAAAAAAGATGAGTGATCTTGTATCTGCAATGAGCTCAGTGGCTAGATGAGGTTGTAGCGTGGATTCGAGTCATGATTGACTATGAACACTACTAGAAAAAGATTATGTGCCAGTTAACCGATAAAATCCCCCGTAAGTCAACTATCAGAAGGCAGTTGATGGCTGTAGTCGAGATGTATTTGTTGGCGATCTCGTGGTATCGAAAGGATACCGTGATCGTGCCAAAGGGAAGCAAACGTGGGTACCTAGCGTAACCGAACTCGTGCAAGGTCACAATCGGAAGATAACTGAGCAATAATATGGCTGTCTGTAGCATAGTTAAACAAACGAGCACAGTAAAACAATCACTGGTGCAATTGGTTATAATAATGATTGTTCCCATTAAACCAATCGCGTTCTCTTCATACAAGTACGTCACCACAAAGTCTCTACAGTGTACTGACAGCACACGGAACACACAGTGTTAACGTTTTCATTCCGTTGATTATATACACATATTGTGTATTTCTCAAGTCACATACTATTTTACTCCTTTGCATTATTCAAGACCATTATTTCATTCACATAGTCTAACAGACCGTTAGATTGTTTTGTTTAATATTACTTATCATATTGTTCCGAATTCTGCTCTTGCATTACCAGAAGTGATTACAATGGAATATAATGGCTGCGAATGGAAGGATAATTATATGTGTTGTTTTCCTCATTTAAATGAGGGTGCCACATCACGACAAAATTCATGACATCCAAGCATATTAAGTAGGTCTGTTATTGTGCATGCACATTCACTCTTAACCTTCATTTCATGATACACACACCAAGTTTACTAAACATTGAAACATACCATTAGAATATTCAAAATGTGATATGGTAGATGTTCAAAACAGCTCAGCAAAGTAAGTTGGACAGACAGTACTCATATCATTTAAATAATTCTTCCAGCTAATTGTAATTCTGTGTCAAGAATTCACTTTGATGAACATGTCAATCGGAACGCTCTATGCTGAACTGTTTCAAGTTGTATATATAGATATTGAAGAGGAAACTCCTATTTAGACTTTCAATGCTTTTGCATATCTAATAATCTATTCAAACTATAATTGGTCATTTAGATAGCAAATGCATTTTCCTTGTACTTAATTCTTCAGTAAGATGTCACATTCAACTACCAACTATTTGTCTTGATCAGTTTTCCAAATGTTATTTGTATTGGGTATTAAAGCATGTGATTGAACTTTAATGAACAGTGAAAAATCTTCTGGACATAAACATCAACATCATACTCTCATATACTGGATAACTCATAATAACAGTCTGTGTAAGTAAAAGGCTGGTAGTGGAAAAAATTTAGGTGGTTAGATTGCCTAGATATTTTTTCCAATTATGACGTCCTTAATTGTTTCCAGTGATGAACATCAACATTTGAAAGATTTGCAAACAAGAAAAGCATGGTGATTACTTAGTTTACTTGACATGCATCATCAAGGACTAGATTCTAACAGAAAATTTTGCATGAAAATCGATCACCGTGATAGGTCCTCTAAGTCTTTCGAAAAATAGACTAAATGTCGAAACCCATTCTATAATATTTAGGAGACAGAAAGTGGTTATAAGAGTTAAAAGTGTGTTCAACAGCATGACTTCACATTCAATCATACAGTGTGTTAGTATGATGAGAAAACTATTTGTAGAATTCGATTAAAACTTATAGTGAGTAGGGTTGTATGATGTTTTACGCTTCATTTTAATTGTGTGTCATTCTGGATCGACATATAGATTACGTCGAATGATTGAAAATCATGTCGAGGTTCATCAAGTTGGAATTCCATAGAAATGGCAGGTTTCAATATATCAGTCACAGTATGTAACTGTGGACTGAAAACACTTCTGTTGTCGTTTTTATTTATATGAGCAGCTTCGGTATAGAAGATGGCTGATTATTTCATTTTCTAAATTACTTTATGTCACTCTTCATCGTCTTATTACGGTTCATCAAGCTGATGTACTGACATTCGTTTATGATCACTTTGTACTTGGAAGATTAAATATTAGTAAGTATTACGTTGTCATAAGGCGACATTACGTTGCTTCAATTCAATGTTCTTTGGATTGTCCTACTAATATCATCTGAAATACAACCGTTCCCTGACACGATGGTTCATGAATCCTAACCTGGTAACTAATAAAGTTGATCAGGTAGTTTATTGATCGGTTAGCTCAATAAGTGATAGTTGATTTGTTGTGGGAATACAACTCCTTTTAGTCATTGAAATCACGACACACGTGTAATTTCATTCGCGATCAGTTTTGTGTGTGCAGATTACTAATTCTATTGTCAAATTTTCCAGGTTTGTTTCCTATACTTGTGAATCGATTTTGAATTTACACTGGTTCAGTGTGTTTTATGAAGTCACTCAAGGTGAACTTGACTTCTTTTGTATAGTATACTGGATCAATATTCTATTGAAATCTCAGTATAAGATGCGGCTAACCCAAAATAGCGTAGAATAATTGTGGTGTATTCAACAGGCAGGATTCCGTAAGGATAGATCGTGTACAGACCAAATCGCAACTCAACGGATCATTGTGGAACAATCAATTGAATGGAATTCATCACTCTACATCAACTGCATTGACTACAAAAAGCATTTGATAGCGTGGACAGAACAACCTTATGGAAAGTTCTTCAACACTACGGCGTACCTCAGAAGATAGTCAATATCATACAGAGTTCATATGATGGATCACACTGCATAATCGTGCATGGAGGACAGTTGACAGAGTCGTTCGAAGTGAAGACCGGTGTTAGGCAACGTTGCTTACTCTCACCCTTTCTCTTTCTCTTGGTGATCTATTGGATCATGAAGACGTCAACATTTGAAGGGAAGCACGGGATACAATGGACATCTAGGATGCAGTTGGACGATCTAGACTTTGCAGATGATCTGGTCCTTCTATCTCAAACGCAACAACAAATGCAGGAGAAGACGAACAGTGTGGCAGCAGCCTCAGCAGCAGTAGGTCTCAATATACACAAAGGGAAGAGCAGAGTTCTCCGATACAACACAGCATGCACCAATGCAATCAAAATTGACGGGGAAGATTTGGAAGATGTAAAAACCTTTACATATTTGGGCAGCATCATTGATGAACAGGGTGGATCTGATGCAGATGTGAAGGCGCGGATCGGCAAAGCAAGAGCAGCATATTTACAACTGAGGAACATCTGGAACTCAAAACAACTGTCAACCAACACCAAGGTCAGGATTTTCAATACAAATGTCAAGACAGTTCTACTGTGTGGCACAGAAACCTGGAGAACTACGAAAGTCATCATCCAGAAAATACAGGTGTTTATTAACAATTGTCTACGCAAAATACTTCAGATCTATTGGCCGGACACTATTAGCAACAACCTACTGTGAGAAAAAACAAACCAGATCCCAGAGGAGGGAGAAGTCAGGAAGATGTGCTGGAAGT